TTTTTTTTTTCTTAATTTATATAATCTAAAAATTATTGATTTCTGTTTCTTGTATTAGGTTAAAAAATTCTATTTACTCAATATTTTTTCCATCATTATTTCTTTTTTCATGCGGATCATATAATTTTGAAGTTTGAAAAACTCTAATGAATTTTCAAACTTTAAAATAATAAATTATTCTTTTTTAAAATCATAGAAAATTTTTTGTTTTTTAATATATACTATATAATATGTATACAGTGATTTTTTTCAAAACAATATCTTATTTTTATTTTATTACATGATTTTTAATGTGTTATTTCATTGAGATCATTAGATATAAAATAATCCAGGATCATTACGTGCAAAGTAAAGAAACGTACCCTGGACAAACTATCTTCGTTATGCTCTTGTTTGCTCTTAAAACAAGAAAAAATATATAGATGAAAATCTATTCAGAATTCCATTGGCGTAACAACCCGTCCCTTTAACTGTATTAGTCTGTTTGCACCCGTTGAAACTGTGACATCACAGATCGGCTGATCCAACAAAATTGATTTCAACTGCTGTTTTCGAGAGAAGCTGTTCTAGAAACCGACAACGATCGTTCACGTTCAACCTGCATCGCTCGGAAGTAGGCTGAAGGGGAGGAAACGAGGACGTGTCCTGTAGGTGGCTGCATCCGCAATGAAAAACTCGTAATTGTGTCGAAGGAAATGAGCTATATTCCATGAGAATCGCGCGATATTGGTGCATTGATGCAGAAAATTTAAGGAATTTTTACATTAATTTTGGATTAATTAGCTTTTTATTAGCACAGTTTATAAGATAGAATTTTTTCTAGTTCTGTAACATAAAATTATAGATATTTTATTAATTGTGGCAATTAATGATCTCAAGAATAACTATTAATTATTAAATTTTAAATTTTAAATTTATAATTATATATTAATTTTATTCAGAATTTCATTTATCTGAATTCATTCGACAGTTCCATATCAGATATGGATTACTTGTTCAAATAATAGAAATTCAGATAATTGAATTCAACGAGTAAGAGTATATTCAATATAAATGTGATTTTATCGTAAAATGAGAAATCGTGATCAATTATATTTTCTTTTTGCAATTAAAATTTTAATCATAAAAATTAATATAATCTAATATCTGAGGGCAGCTAATAATTTGAATAAATGTTATTTGAAGGAAGATCTTCATCATAATTCTTGTATATAATTATATTTATTTATGTAGATCTTTTGCGTGGTTTCTACTCATATATCTTGGAAGTAACAAAACAATCTAAGCATTATATCTGATGTTTAGATGTTTCATTTATACTATTTATCGTTATTTCTATCTCACACTCGTCATCTTCTAAAATATTACAGTATAATTAGACGTGATATACATTATAAAGTAATTTACTATATATTGCATATCACTCAATGGTGTTATATTTATTGAAATAAATAAAGAGATTTATAATTTTCAAAATGTTCTCTATAACAATAATATTCAATATAAATAAAATTGTATGATACAGAGAAAATGAATAATCTTTTATTAACAGAATTGAATTAATTAAACTCTCTTAATAAAACATATCTAATATGAATAAAATATCAAATTTAATTTCATCCATTAATTTGTTGTCTGCTACTACTTTGTTTAAAAAACTAAATTAAATGTTTCCTTGTATATTTTTCACATTGTTATGCTATAACATTAAAATATAACAATATAACAATAATAACAAGTGTTGATTATCGCTGACCATCATGATTAATATATTTCTCAAGATGTTGTTCTCTGTGATTTAAACCTGTCTTCTTATATTATATATTCAGATATCATAAATAGAAAAGATAGATTCTTGAAAGGTTCAAAAACTATTAAGTGAAAGATACGGGCGGTCGTTGTGTCCGGATTTTGCCGAGTTCACTGGCGCAATGCGGGGCGGCCAGACAACATGGCGCACCCTTTTCTGGCGCGTTGAAATTACACGCATTCAATCGCAAGCAAACACGTGTATAAAGATGCATTACGTTATTTGTTTTATCGTTTCATTGATCATCGTACAAAATCGATTAGCTGTTGATTCGTTCGATGACAAATTTATCAAATCTGTTGATAAATTAAATTATGCATTCCATTGTGCGAACTTTGAATTTTAATTTTCTAATTTTAATTAATTAATAGATTTTATTAATCTAAATTATTTTTTGTATATTAAAAAATATTAATCACTCCATGGATTAATAATATTCTAAATTATCGATTGTTGTGTCATTTAAATCGATTCTATATAGGTATTAAAAATTTGAAATATTTTTTAGAAAATTGTTATCCGATTAGATATTACGATGATTACAAGCGTCAATAGATATACGGTTCGAAAGATGAGAAATAAAAAAAAAATCTTTTGAAAGAAACTTTCGAGTGTTTGAAAAGGAAGCATTTTCATGATCGATGAATTAATATGGTCCTTGACCACGG